TTGAGGACTTCTCTTATACTTAAACTATTATCTTTGCTACCTTGAGGTCTCTCATAATTACGAGACTGCTGCCTCTTTCTAGTTCTGTTTTTGTAACTACTTGCTCTATTTGAATTACTACTTTCAGAAAACTCAGAGCTACTATCATCAAAATCTGTTTGCCAATTTCCCACAGATTTATTTTCTTCCTTATATTTACAGCTACCATATTCTTCATAATCTTTTTGTATTGTTGACTCCATTTTCCTGTACTCATATTCTTGATATGCATATTTCGAGTATCCTTCCCCTGGGTCTTGCTCTGATTCCTTCCTTTTACCTAAACTTTTAAGACTTAACTTTTGTGGTATAACTGCTAGAGCCTTGTTTGCTACTAGGAGTTTCTCCTCTTCGGGTCTATTACTTCTGATTGTTGCCCATTTTAGTTTGTTATCATAGTAATAAACCGAGAACTTAGGGCTTTCTAGCAAGTCTATTTCATTTGCAAAGTAGATTGTAGCGCTTCTTTTATTATTGTTATTTGCATTTTTAAATATATGCAAAGCTTTGGCTCCTGTTCGTTTAACCTGTCTCCACAGTAATACCTTATTTGCATCTTCTAGTAGATCTAGGATCTTTCTAGAAAATTTGTTATGAGATTTAAGTAACTCTGTGTCATTTCTCCCTGGTGTTGCTCTCACCAAACAGTTGCTCAAAAGAGGAATGCACCATGTGTCTCTAAGATCCTCTACGAAGATAGTATTTGGTACAAACTCAATTTCTGCACGTGTTTTTCCACTTGTTTCTCTAATTATCTCAATATAACTAATTCATCCGAGATACCGTATAGATTCGAAAATGTGGATTCTTTTCACCCATTTTGGAAGGTCCCACACTGTAATTATATTTTCTTTATGTGTATCTTTCCTTTCTTTGTCTACTACTTTCTCAAACCCTGTTTTTGATTTTTCATCTTTAGTCCGTAACTTGTTCATCTTCGGAGTAGGAGCCTTATTCTCTGTATTCACCAATTTTGCTTTCGGCATCTTTTTGAAGAGGTTTGCTAAAACCTTAGTAGTTTTATAGTTGTCGAAGATTATATTATACCATTCAATCTCCTTTTTTTTAGTTTCTCTCTCAAAATGTTTAGATCTTTGAGGCAATCAAAAATGATGACCACCTAACTATTTCCATTTTCAAAGCACTCAACAATCTTACTTATATGACTACTTCTATATAGTGTTCCCTTTATGAATTTGATTCGTTCTTCTTTTGATTTCCCAGGAAGTGAGATGGAAGAAATTTTTGCTCTATATTCTCCTGCTTTTTCACAGGTATTTTCGTTGGGTGCCTATTGACTATCTTCAAGAGAGGTTCCTTGTGGTTCTTTATAGTTTACAACTGCATAGTTTAGTTGCTTTTTCTAATATTCCTTTGGATCATTAATTTCTTTTTGTGAAGTTCTGAGTGGAACATCTTCTGCATCCTCTAGAATTATGTCTTTTGTATGCAAAGCTAAGTCTATGAGCTCAATTTCTGCAGGTTCTGTACTGCTAGAATTGGCCTTGCTATTTGAATTAGGCATACTCGCTACTGTACTAGCTTTTTGAGCATTAGATATTTCATAAACTTCTTTAACCTCTCTATCTGTAAATAGGATATCAACT